ATAATAAAATAATTTAATAAATAATTTAATAATTATATAATTAAATTATAAAATAACTTAATACGTAAACTTAAATATAAAGTAATAAAAAGGTTTAATCGTAATTTATAAAGTAAATTTACAAATAATTTAAATTATAAGTTATAAAGTAATTTAATAATTAAAATAATAAAATAATTTATTTAAACCTTAAAATATAATTTTATAATTTACCGTAATAAAATTTAAATCGGTTGTATTAAATACGTTAATTATATATATATTAAAGTATATAATTATATAAATAAAAAATAACTTTATTAAATAATATAAAAATGTTTTATTAAATTGTAAAAATAAAGTAATTAACGTATATTATTTTTAATTTTTACTTTTTAAAAGTTTAATAACATCGTTTTATATTTAAGTGTAATTTACTAAAGGTTTTAATTTTATACGTTATTTTATATAAAAAAGCTTAATTTAAATAAATAATTTATCGAAATAATTATTAAAAATTATTCCGTTTAACGATCCGTGAATATTATTAAATGTTAAAAAATTTATTAATTTATTATAATATATTTTAAAAAAGTTTATTATGTTTAACGGTTTTATAAATCATATATTTAAAATATTATAACGTATGTAAAAAATAACTTTAAAAACTTTTTAACATTTTTAAAAATAAATTAATCGTAAAAATTAATACGTTTATTAACGATAATACCGTTTAATGTTTTAAATAAATATAAAATAAGTAAATAAATTTATTACCTTGTATTTTATTTAATTAAATATAAAAAATTTATTTTTATTAATATTATTATTAATTATTAATTAATTTAAATTAAATGTTTTTTAAAATTAATTTAATTTTAATATTTTATAATTTAATAATAAGTTTTTTTTAAGTATAATAATATAAATAATAAGTAATATTTTTTAAGTAATATAAATAAAAAATATTATTTTTTTAATAATTTTGTTAATAATAATATTAAATTTATTATTGTTTTATATATATTATAATTAAATAACACCGTTTTAATTTAAATTAAACTTATAAACGTATAAAACTTTTAATTATTAAACAATTAATACGTACGATTAAAACAATATTAATATAATTACTTATAATTTTATTATATATTGTTATAAAAGTGTAAAATTATAAAAACGCGTGAAACGTAAGTAATTACAAGGAAATCAAAGATTTTAGGTCATATAACAGTGTTAACTAATCTGACATATGCGTTAAAACAATAAAATTAAAAAAAAAAAAAATTTTTTAACCACGCATACCGAAACTTAACAAACCGCATTAAATATAAACCGTTTAAAAAAGTACGTAAGTTAAATTAAAAATAAATTAATTAATAAAGTTTAATTTTTAAAATTATTAAAAAATTTAAAATTTATATATAAAAAAAACTTTTTTTTACTTTTTAAACATTATAATTAAATAAAAATTTATTTAATAATTAATTTTTAAAGTTAAATAAAAAAAAACTATTTAAAAAGTTATAAAATAATTAATACATAAAAAAAAATATTATAAAAAAACTTTTAATATAAAAAAAAAAACTTTTTTAAATTATATATAAATATATATATATAAAATTAACAAATATAAACGATTTATTAAATATAAAATAAAAATAATAATTAAAAATAATTAATAATAAAAAATTAATACCGAAAAAATATATATATTAATATTAATAATTAAATTATTTTAGATTTTTATAATTATAATAATATATTTTAACTTAAAATTAAAGTAGTTTAATATAATTAATATTTTTATTAATGTTAAAATAAAAGAAAATATATTTATAAAAATGTTACTTAAATATAAAAAATTTAAAACAATATTTAAAATAAAAATAATAATTTATAACATAAAAAGTTTTTTAAATTTATAACATAATAAATTTATAAATAAATTAAAATAATTAAACTTTTAAATAATTTTATATAAACCGTATATTTATTATAAAAATAAAATATTACTATTTTTTTATATAAATAATTTAATTTTAACATATAAAAAAAAAAAAGTTAATAATATAAATAATAATTAATTAATTAAAAAAATATTATAACATTATTAAAAAAAAAAAATCTTTAATAATATTTAAACATTATTATTTTAAAAAATTATATAAAACGATTAATATAATTATTTTAATTTAATTACTTTAATAAAATTAATAATTTATTCGAAAAAAATACGAAATAAACCTTATTATACCTTATAATTAAAAAAGAATTATTACCGTATAAAAAAAAACAATATTAAAGTTTATACATTTATATTAAAAAAAAATCGGTTTAATATTATACGTTATAATAATTATTAAATTAAATATAATTTTTACATATTCCCGATTAATACGGTTTTTATTAAACTTAAAATTAAAACATTATAAAATAATAAATAAAGTTATTAAATACTTTTATTATATTAAAACATTAAAACTTTAATTAAAAAAAATAATAAATTTAAAGTAATAAATAATACGTTATTTATTAATAATATAATAAATTGCAAAAACTTTTAAATATATATAATAAAATTATTTAATAAAATTATTAAATAATAAACAAATAAATAAAATATAATTATTACATTAATTATAAAAATAAAATTATTAATTTTATTATAAATAACAAAAAAAATTATATTTATTTTTAAATTTATTAAAAAATTAAAAATATTTTTAAATAATTTTACAATTACCATATAATATAACAATTATTAAACCATTTAATTAATTTTAAAAAATATTAATAAATTATAAATTAAATTAAAATATATAAACATTTACAATTATTAATTACGTTAAAAAATATATAAAAATACAATACGTATAAAATACACATTATTAAAAAACATAATTATAAATAATTTTATTAAAATACTTACAAATATATTTTTTACAAAATTTAAAAAACAAATAAAATTAATAAATATTAAAAATAAATTAAAAAAAAAAAATTTAAAAAGTTTAATTAATAAAATTAAGCAAATTTTTTAAGATTTTATAAATTTATTTAATAATAACGTTTAAAAAATATATAAAATATACTTTAATATATTTTAACACGTAATTGTTTATCACGTATTATTTAAATATTTAAAATTATTTTAAATATTTATAAAAAAAAAAATAATAATGTTTTATTTTTTTATTAATTAATTTAATAAATTAATTTATTTAATAAATGTTTTAACCGTTTATTATACCAAGTTTTTATGCCGATTTTACGCAATTACCACGTAAACATCATTTGTTTTACGGCGTAAATATATTATTAATGGCCTTTTCGAAAAAACCGTTTAAATTATGTATAACTCGTGATTATCCGCTCGGATAGTTTAAACACTCCGCTAACTTATCTCAAGTAACTTTAAACCAAAATTTCGATTTTTAATTCGGGGGGATATACCTTTTACAGCCACACCACTTTTTAATTAATCATAACTTGTATAATTTTTTTAAAAAAAAATCGAAACTTTAATTTAAAGTTATTTTAAATACGTCTTTTTTAAAAAATTGTTTTATAAAAAATAATATTAACATTATTTAATTAATAAATTTATTAAAAAAATAATAACGTTAATATATTTTTATAATAAATAATAATTATATATAATTATATTAACTTTATTATTAAATTTATTAATTAAATTTATATATTTTAAATTTTTTAAAATATTAAATATAAGTTATAATAATTATAACGGTTATAATACCAATTATAATATTAATTATAATAATTAATTTATTAATTAATAAAATTATTAAAAATAATAACGTTAATACGTTTTTATAATAAATAATTATTAATTATATAATTATATTAACTTTATTATTAAATTTATTGATTAAATTTATATATTTTATGTTTTTTAAAATGTTAAAAATAACTTTAATAAAATTGGTTATAACGCGTTAATTGTAATAATAACAATAATACCGGTTATAATAATAATTGTAATAAATGTTAAAATTTAATATTAAAAAATAAAAAGGCTTAAATTATTAAATTAAAATTAAAATAAATAATATTTTATATTTATATATAATATTAATTATAATATTAATTATAATGGTAATTAATAATAATTAATATTATTTACCGTAAAAAAAATTTAACGTTTAAAATTATAATATAAAAACGTAACATTATATAAATATGTAAAAAATTTAAATAAATAAATGTAATATATTATTAATTTTAAATCATTTAAATTAAAGTTATTTTATATATTATTATATTATATTAAATTATTGTAAATATAATATTTAAATTTTATTACTAAAATTTCCACTGTAACAAGCGCTTAGGCCCAGGCCAGCCTTAGACCACATTTCGTAAAATAACATACCCGTGACCTATAAGTACAAACATACAGGCTATGCGTTTTTGAGGCGCCTGTGGCGCCGAGGGCTGTGCGGGCGCAGCCCGCGCCCTTACGAAATGTGGTCTGAGTTTACTGAGATAACCGCTAACGTCCGAAATATAAATTTAACAAACTAGATGGTTTCTTTTGGTTTCGGAATCAAGTCACGCAGCTTACTTTAAAGCTCAGGCAACACCTTGTGCTAGGAAGGGTTCTGGCTTAACTGCCTTAGGTACCTAACCTAACCTAACGTAAATGTGGTCGGGCGTCGAAAATAGAAGCACCATTAGTCTATAGAGTGTCTAAGATTTAGCATTTATAGATTGCAATGCGCTTTACCAAAGTTTCTACGAACATACCCCAGGTAGTTATCTATCCCATAAGAACCCCAGCTCACTTACAGTAACAGACAGCGGTCCCCCCGAAGATTCGCCCAGACGACCGAGGCAACCAGACTAGCCAAACTCCAAACAAAGACTTCGGTTGAAGCATCACCTTATCTTTCTATGATATAGACGTGCTTTACACTTCACATTGGTGTTTAGTATTAAATCGTAGTTCACCAGTATTAGGAAGAGACCAAATACAAGCACGTAGGCAAGCGAAGTCTCATCGTAAAATATAAATTAGAGGATAGGTCCTATCACCGGATCCTAAATCATACGCTCTGGCCAAGAAGGTGCGCTGCGACGATTACGCTCAAGCTGCTCGTAGTTTAGCTAGTCTCTCCTTCGTACTCTTTACGATGTCTTCTTCGTTGTATATTCCTGTCACGCTGGGATGCTTGGAAACAGCTTCTCCCCATCTGTAGAAGTTAGGGGCCTTGGCGGAGATATCGGTGAGTATGTGCGCAGGCAAGATGCCATGCTTTGGTAGTGTGAAAAGTCGTATGACGAAGCTCCCCGTCAAAACCTAGAACGATTTAGCTCGTGCAATCTAGACACTATAAGCAAAGGGAACAATTACCTCGGCCTGCGTAAGCTTGTCGCTGCCGTTGAAGAAAGGTGCGGCATTGGCGAGGAGGGGCTCGAGTTCCTTCACGACCGCATCGACGTACTCTTTGACAAAGCCTTCTACTTCATCGTCGTTCTTGGCGAACGAGGCCTTGAAGAAGTTACTGTTCACCTTTGAGATAAAAGTATCGACGAAGAAGGCGATCCTAGCACGTTGCAAGGCTCCACCAGGGGCATTTGAAACCGGGATAAGATGAGACGGGTGAGCGTCGGCCAAGAAGTCAGAGATAATACCCGACTCGGTGAGGATCTCTCCGTTATATTCAATAGACGGAACTAAACCCCGAGGGTTGATCTTTAGATACTCGGCAGTACGGGGGGTGCTCAAGTCAATGATCTCCTCTTCGAACGGCAGCCCGAGCTCGGCAAGAGAGATGTGCGCTCGGTGAGCCCCTAATGAATGGATTTATCAGCTCCTTTCCCATAAGACTTGGACGGGGCGCTCGCACATGGGCAACGATGGTTCGTATACAACTTAATCTTTGGTGTCGCCATTTTCTTAAGGGGTTTTGGAGGAGTAGACCAAGACAGTGTGGGCTGTAGATGTGATACTTGATATAAAATACGATTACCCCGGCCTCACGACTTCAACTTATATCTACGGACCCAAGGTTTCTACCGGCATCGACGGAGGCTGCTTACCAATATGCGGGGTCATTTTGCGCGCAATTCGGCGTGATTACCCAATAACAGAAAGAAAAGGCACGTAAAGAATTGCGCAATTCGTCTCCGACAATGTCTCAGCTCGGGCATTTTGAGGTTAATCATTCCGAGGAGCGTTTCGTGACGAACTCACCAGGTAATTTTGATTCTAGTTGAAGCTGTATCCTGTTATATAAAATTAAAAGCTGCCTTCATTCTATCAGTCTGTTTCACTGTCTTCCCCACTTTGAAAATGAGGCTATTCACCAGACCTATGCTCTAGTCTCTAGATCCCTCAGATAAGAACACCCTAAATAGCTTCGTTTGAGCCGACTAATATAATTCATCACTCTGACTTATGATATTTTAACAGCCACTTATGCTCCGTAGGTGTGGCTTATCGAAGATGAACTAGAAATCCCGGGGATCCTCACCGTCAATCATATTAACCGAGATCTGCGAATATATTCACCTTCACGTTCGTCGTGACGTCAAGCTGACCTCATACAAATTTATGGGTGTGTTCATGATGTCGATGACGTCAGGGATATTGTCGCCGTTAAACTTAAATACCCAAGCCCAAGCTACATAGGTGTAAGTTCTTTTATATTCAGACAGGAAACAAGACTACCTACACTACAATTATCACACTACTAAGTCAAACATATCCCTAAATCAATATGCCTCGAGACGGAAGCGGTCGAGCCCACAACGCTCAAGATCTCTCGCCTGAGACCGATCACAACATCATCCACGGTGCCGGCAACGAGACTGTAAGCCAAGTCCATCAGTCGCCTAACCTAGTCTTTCGCTAATAATATCTATAAACAGGACCCTCATGTTGCACGAGCGGATAAGACTGCAGAGCTGCCCGAACACGAACACGGCGCAGGACTGAAAGGATTAAATGCTAGTGGTGGTTCATGTCAGGGTCTAACACATGGTCCGGGGAGTGGACAGGGAGGACGCGGAAGCACAAATTAATGCCTTAATATCGTCAAAGTGTACAGTTGTTGTTCTTCGCGGATATTAGAAGAACGTGTATGATTATAATGAAAGAAAGGCCAATTACCAACTACGCTCATGGATTACATTAATAGTGTATTCTTGCTGGCACCATCGGGGAGCTTTGACCGCAGTATTAACCCCGGATAGACTCTTCTATCCACTCCATTGTTCCAGTTTGGTTGGTACGGCAGCTGGTTAATTGTAACGTAGAGGTATCCATCCCAACCCACGTTGGCGCTGTCTGGCCAGACAATACGAGGGTCTCTAACATACGGTACTGTTAATTGAGTCGTGTAACTGAGAAATGTTAGCGGTTTGCGCAATCCTGAATATAAATCGACTTAAATAGACGCGTACTTGTATATAAATATTGCATTATGCTCCGGCATTAGCATATACACGTTACCGAGGCTATCTCCAGTGAACCCATTAGCGTTTCCGCCCCTCTGTCCTAAATTCTTGACGTTGTCGAAGGCATTCTTATTAGCGATCGGGTCGCTATTCGGGTTTGCCCGTAGATACCGGGTCTCTATCGCGTATAGATAATCTGTAGTGAGCGCAGAGTAGTACATGACCTACTAAGGTTAGCCGTGCTCGACATCTCCGAGTTCATATGCCTACCTCTCCGTATTTATCTAACTCAGCCCCGTCGAGACCTTCTTCTTGGAACCCGAGCGGATATCCATGTTGGCGTAGATAAAACGGAATACCATTGTAACTGGGAACGACTTCAGGTATAACCTGAGTACTGGGGTGTTGATTCAACTGCCTCCAGCTCTCCCCTGTCGCGAGGTCGATCATGATGAACCCCGTTCTCCCTTCGTTACTGCTGTCTACGATATACACGATGCCGCCTCCCGACTGAGTGACATTAGACCGAAGGTCAAACCGCAGGTCATTCATGTAAGAGTCTGGATAATGAACCGTCGGAGGTAGGGTATATGTCTTTCTGATGCTATTCGTAGTTAAGTCTATAGCTACCAGCTTCGGGCCACCCGGTGCGGCGTATGGCGTGCTAATCTTCTCCTCTTGGGTGATAGTAGGGCGTCCAGTGTCGAGCACCCAGAGTGTGTCATCAGGGGTCACGTACAGAGCTTGCACGCTGATAAAGTGACTCTCATCGTTGCTGCCGAATGTGATGCCGTTGCTAACAGCGGAAAGTCCTTGAGGGGGTGTATTCAGTTCCAAGTTGGGGTACGCCACCTCGGCGGTCTCATTAACGACTTCACCCAAGGTGTATGCGTACGTCCCTCGCGTATAGCAGGTGAAAACTCGCCCATTCTTAGATACAGCGAGTCCAATGGGCCATTGATCGTAAAAATAGTGGTATTCCTCTACCAGTGGCCCGTATGTCCCTGTGTCGACACGGATATTCCGTGCCCCAGAGGTCCCGAACGTACTATTAAGTGCTACTGGGAAGAAGGCTTGTGCCACCACGCGGCTAAGAAGGCCAGTTGCGACTGATAGGGTTAACTTCATGTTTTATATATTGCAATATGAAATCAAAATACCATATAAGTTTCTAGAAATTACAGTTAAATCCTAAGCGGAGAGGTTGTATAGTATAGAGGGCATTAATGCCTTTACACCTCATCAAATGCCGAGTTCCCGGGCGCATGAATACGAAGTGGACGTCAACCGAACTGCTACATGTTCCGGAACTATGCACCTACATATTCTCTGGAATGCATGATGCTGAGATGTCTTCCAATTCGGGGATGATGTAATGCGGGGATCATCCATTGACATGCTGAGGGGGTTGTAGCAACATTGGGTATTTCCGACGGACTGTTGAGCCGATTAATTCAAGCTCCTATCTGAATATTTCTCATTACTTGACCTAATCATAATAGCAGTTATTAACTCTCTTATTTATACCGAAGATCAATGTAAACAAATGTGAACGGATATGAAAATATTAGGCAGTTAGTCATAAGGAGTACAATGAGATATTAGATACATATTATTCGCTTCCAACTTGGTAAATTACTACTAAGTTAAGCAGCACGGTAGTAACCTTAACCTTACACATTCAAGCATCTAGACGAGCAGTCTCAACACAGCCTTCTATAATACTATCAAACTACCCTTACTTGAGCTGTGCAAGTAAGTTCAGGTTCGAGTTCTACTAGCGCTTTAGGAGATGAATACAAATCCACTTATACCTCAACTATTAGTATCGTTCTTGGTAGCTCATTATCCCGTGGGTTAGTATTCTGGCTGTTATTAACGACTCTGCTCAGGGGCTTATACCTAGCCTACTGTATCTATGGTAGTTGCGACTATCTTTCGAAATTAAAAACGTGATACTAAACTGACATATTGAACTTGTGTCTCTGCTGTGACCATATGCATTGGGCCGGTCTGTGGTTTAATTCAAGCGTAAACCTTCCAATCACGTCGAGAACCTTACCGCGTCCAAGTGTTCGTCACTAGGCTCTCAGTTGTTAGATACTTCACTAGCCCCTTACTCGCCGTCTTGACACGTTTATCTAGGTATTTATTCTACTAAAATCCTGTCACATTCCTTCCATTATATCTTCTCCCAGTCGTACATGTCGTTACATTCTCTTTTCAAATCACCTACAAGTCCCGTAGTAGGTTTCCTTACTTCGACTTGGTATAATGACAGCTAAGGATTACAATATGCCTATTCCGCACATCATTATACAAGACTGGAACGATCCATCTGAACCTAACGGAGGCAGGCCTGTATCGTCGTCGCGAAAGATTGCTAGCGCCATACGAACATTCTTCCGCCGCCTATGGTCGAAACGACATTTGTCAAAGTGGAGGTCTAGGAAGCCATCTTCTAATGGGGAAAAGGCGGCGCTGAAAACAGATGAAATACGTGAACTGTCTGGTTCGGCCTCTGATATGCCACGGTTATATTTACCAGATAGCGGCGTACATATTAGCCTATTAGATGAATGCCGCAAGTCTCTCCGTTGCTCAATCTCCCTAGAATCATCCGAGGAGGACACAGAACCAGCAGAAGAGACCAATACGAGGGACAAACGAGAAAAGACACTTCGCATACTCGAATAGCCTAGAGAAGAGCGAGCGACCAAATTTTCCGATACTCGGGATCCCTCCTGAGTATCTAGTAAGGCCATCAGCTTCCGAAATTGCGTCTTCTGCAAGGGGACACTCGCAATATATAGAGAGAACTAGCCGGTACTCATTACAGAACACCACTACCACTCGACGCTCAGAGTTAGATGCCAGAATCGGCGAGGGGGTAGAACACCAAGACGGTGCAAGGAAAAGGCGAGGCAGGCTTAGCCACATAAACCCAGCAATAAAGGCCCCAGACCCACTGGTTGGATACGATATAGAATTTCCAGAAGCTAAACGTTTACCAAGACCTAAGAGCAGCAAGCCTACGAGGCCCAAATACCTTGCCGTACCCTCGAGAAGATGTCGTCGGAAAAGGCGTGCATCCGCTCCAAGCTTATCACACACGGTTACCGAGTATATAAAACCAGAAATGCCGCCGGATTCCGACATGGAACCGGAAAGCAGACGCAAGTCGGACGGGCTTGGGTACAAAATCAAAGTACACCCATATCAATGAGTGAACGTCACGCCCAGGACTCTTATCACGCGTATTATGTCTCTCTCCGCGTATGTTCTCGCTTAGAGGATCCTTTATAGATGATTAAGCTTAGGCAGCGTTGTCGGGATATACAATAGCTCTCATATGGGAAATATCATATTTCTTATTGTTTAAGGGGTCTATTTACGGCAAATTAGGATTAATTCTTTAACTCGGGGTATAATAAATATACCTAGTTACTTTATTCTATTACTATCATCTCACTATTATAGACATTACGGAATATATTTTGTCGCTCAATAATTGAATAGTCAGGCCTATTGGTTACCTCCTAAATATCAATCGTGACTTAACAAGACTCAAAGCTGAATAATAGTCTGTGCGTTTGCGTTTGATACTTCTATATTCAAATAGACTTACTATAACTTAATGTCTAATTGATCATGGCATAGCTTTAATAAGTTACAAGGCTCAAGATTTAGTCCGAGCGACTTCAACAAATAACTATTCGAAGCTAGGAGGCCTCATGCGTCAGTGGCTGAATGCATAGCTCTAGATAGTCGGGGAAGATACACGGTTTCCGCAAGTACCATGCGTAACGTTTTAACGCCATGCCGACTTGGGGATGCAGCTATCGTGCAGCCCGGTGAGCATCGTGATTGGGCCGGCCGTGCCCTTCCCGCGTAGTACATGTACGATGCAAAGCCCCTCGCGATCCCGCAACTTTGTGCCTCGTTCGACTGTTACTCCTCACGCATGAAACAGATAACTACTAAATAGGAGGTGGGAGATGACTCAAAATAACGTGTGTCCTTATTTATTTTAAAAAAGGCAATCATAAGATCAGACAAACAATTAAGTGGTATAAGGATAAAACACTCCGGTTGGGACAGCAACATTTGGCACTCTCATTCTCATAAGTCTCTTACCGCCAGCCTAGTCCTCGCAAAAGGTCATTCGCTAAATACCCACCCCGCATGATGGCAGCCAGCAAGGCTATCCCGCGGGAACGACTCTTGGCTCTGCAGCACGCTTACGACACGCTCTGCATATATCTCGGGTTTCACGACGATGAAAAGCACTTCTTGCGGCAGATCCTAGATGGGGACTTCATCAGCCCCTTTTTCGCAGAGTATCGACGCGACTACCTCGAAGCCGAAGCAGAGATCGAGGATGTAGATTGCGATGAGCTATTCAGATGGTGCAGGTCCAAGAACGCGTTCGTGTTGCCCAAGTATGTAAGCTCTAAGACGCCGAGTAAGGGAAACTGGACGGCGCTCGATCACGCGGCTCGGTTTCTCGTCCGCGCTCTTCGGTTCAGTTGGGAGAACGGTGGCGAGTGGACGCATGGGAGATTCGATCCTGATAACGACCAGGATCTAGAAAGCGACAGGGAGTTTCATCAGGTCTGGGCCATCCTGCGGTATCTTCAGATAGAGTGGGAAGCCGCTAATATCGACGAGTGGGAAGGGGACAGCATAAGTGAGACTCTCGCGGACATGTTATCTAGTCGATTATAACCTAGGGATGAGGTTAAAGTCGGGTAGATTCGTTCTCTTTGTGTAGCACTAGGTATAATGTAGGCTAAGGCGCATGGGGATCGGTGGCGATTCGAAGCGGGTAGTATGACTAGAGCCAATATTTCTACTGATAGGCCCTACATTACCAACTCTTATTCTATTCCGTTATATCTACAAATGCCACGAGATGCTACAAGTAGAGAAAGGCTTTGGTAGTATACATCCATCGCACTCTAAACTAGGTATATCCAATCATCACCATTAGGGGAGCATTGTCGTTCTATAGGGTATCGTCATATTCATCTAAATCATCTCACCCAAAGTAAAAATTATATAGCCCAAAAATGTAAGTAAATCAAACACCATCTGAGATTATGTCCTCACGACGGCGTTCCTTTTCGGCAGTAATATCCCCGACGCTTCCTGACGACGATCCGATGCGGTCAGAGGAGTAGTGGCCTGGTTGACTGCTCCCGTCCGGAATGTAGAATCGTTTATCGACCCTGCTTAGGGTCAAGACGCATAGAATAAGGATCTCCACTGTGAAGTTGAAGATGTAGAATGGAGCCTTGCCGTGATACCAAGCAGGGTTATTAAGTGCTCGCGGAGGCGCGAATGCAGTCCCAATTTTAAACCCTGAAGTCAATATGCATAGACAGGCCGTCGCAAGGACAATGGCGGCCTTGGTCTTCATTTTGCCATATCCAAAAGTTTCTTCTATAGGGGATCGAGGTAATAGGTAAGCGGCAGCCGTCAAGAAGACTGGTAGAGTTGTGAAGACGAGGAGATAGGTGCTAGACGTTAGTTGAACAGCTCGACAGGCTCGTAGCGTATACGGATCCAAGCTGTACATGGATAACACCACAGCTGTGATAACCATGATCAGAGCACAGGCAATCCCGACGTAGAGTAGTTTGAACGTGGTACGAAGCGCTATGTGCCAACCAAGGGATGGTTGCTTTGCTCGTAGAATACGTTGGGCGAAGATTAGATTAACGACGTACGCAATGAGAATACCGGCGTTAACAAGGATATTAGCTGCAATAGCAAGACGAATATTGGTCTGCCGGTTCGCCCATGCTATCCGTAAGGTGAGGGTAGCTATACGGGCCATACAGAAGCCGAATAGGGCGCCGGAAGGGAGGAATTTGTGACCTCTTCGATTGTTGATTTGGAATATCGTCATATTAGTTGCTGCGAAGACCATGTATAAGGCGATGAAGACAGCGGAGATAGGGACGTCGGGTATAACTGAAGGGAGACCTCCAACGGCCGCCGTGGTGGGCGCATAAGGCGGACCCGAGCGATGTTGCTGTGCTTGTGACATCGCTGAGTTATTATAATTATGATGATGATATTAGACGTATTAATTTCGATATTGGTATAGGTAATAATAGGGGTAATAATATCGACTTGAGTAACGTATATATAACCAAGATTAGGTTGAAGAGTGCAGATCTGTCAGATTTGATAGATCTGACGGGAAACGCATGCAAAGTATAAGAAGATAAAAATATATGCAGGCGTTCCGAGGAGAGACAAGAAAACAAGAATAAGAAAAAATGTAAATGTCAAGTTACCTCGGACTCGATATGAAGATGTCTTAGAATATCGAAGCTCAAGCGATTGGTGCGAGACTTAAAATACTTAGATAAAGACGTAAAGCTCTTCCTCGAGAATAAATGAACATACTAAGTTATTTAAAGGTCATATCGTTCGTCTCATGTCCTTTCGGCGCATTACCGCGCATGTCTCGCGATCCCGAGACCACGAAATCGGTCCACAAGATCTAATCACATCTTGTTCTAATGCTTGCTCTAGTGCTACTAGATCGTTCCAGCTAGGCAGGCTAAGTTGTTCTTTATGTTGCTTGACTCAAGACTACCTAGTCTTGAGTTAACATCATCATGCCATCCCTGTTACGGATCCGGTCTGGTGGATTCACGCATAAGTGCCGGTCGGTCGGCGTTGACGAAATTCCTAAAGGGGTAAAGTAAATTAGAATCGACCAATAGCATCCTATCATTCTCCGTAATTAAATAATAATAGGGTCCGCAGACATATAAGATGGCGGCGTCTTGGAATGCCGATGACCGACATCTCAGTCGAAGCAATGAAGTGTTATTACTTGTAATGCCAAAGCTCCAAAGCCCCGAAGCTCCAAAGCATTGTTATTGCCAACAATATTATTGTCAACATCGCTTATAAAAACTTTCAAACAAACACCACAGCCTCAACTTTAAGGCATCAGATTACTTATAAAAAGCACCTCAAAGTAATATACAACACATTTAAAACATTAACTCAGTCTGTATTATCGCTACATACCTAGGTATAGGTACCTAAGGTATTTAATCATTTACATAATTAAACGCCTGAGACCCATACAAGCGAAACTATCCAAACATGAAAACAAGACGAGGGGCGTAGTTAAATAGAAACAAAATGAGAATAGAAACAAAACGTTCAAGCATTAGAAACATGTCCCAACATGATTCCGAACTCCTGGCTCTTGACTTCCCTTAATTTTTATCAGGAGGTTTTTTTTTCTTTTGCCTTTTTTTTGCCTTTTTTTTCTTCTTCTTTTTTTTCATAAATGCATAAATTCGCAAGCCCGCAAGCCCATAAACAAACCAAATCATAACGGTCTTACATCATACATAATGCTTATAGAGACCATCCACAGTCTCTAGCAGTTTTGTCTTGTTTCCTTCGGAGGTATCTTGAACGTAAATGAGACGGCCAAAGTGCTACCACCTTTTCGAACTCCTTTTCAGCATCCGCTTCGATTCCGGCAGACACACGGACTCGGTGTTCAGCGCAGTACGGAAACAAATCCAATTTCCCGTTTTCCAGGATGGAGTTACATTCTGTGCAAAGAGCATCGCGCTGCTCCTGGCTGAGCCTCTCGCAACATTTCGGCAACACAACGCGGTTCTTGCACTTCCTATTATCCAGAGCCTTGCGAGCGTCCGGACAGTAAGTCAGCCATTCATACTTCTCGAGCTGCTTCCCCCTGCAGCTTCTGCCTCGCTCCGCGCAATATCTGTACTCGCTGCCTCTCCAGGCAAGACACCCGCAGGAAAACGTGGTAACGGCAAAGTAACACATCTTGGTGTAATATTCGTAAAAGCTTCGGTACAAGGTTTACGATTTACTCGGATATGTTCTGAACACGGCTCGCTTGCTCGAAATAGTACAAAAAAATTGTTTCGAGTGCTTTGAGTTGAGGAATAGAGGGAACATAGAAGCTCCCATGCCACTTTAATACCAGATCATATGAAACATGTTATCGCCTTCTTTATACGGATCGCCTACTTGTTTTCTATCTGTTGTCTATCCAGCTCAATGATTAAGGAAACAATTTCATTCCTCGGAGAACAATCTCATCTACGAAATATGAAACTCATATATATATGTATGTGTGTTGGCTGTACACGTCACTGCTGTCTTCTAACGGCTTTACTGTTATACTGTTCTAGACCGGTCCAGCTCTACTTAGTTTCGATACTTGACTGGAACGTGCCCCATAGTAACTCTTGTGGCTAGGAAGTTGTTCTGTCCTGTATCATAGGTATGGATCTAGATTCTAACATCTATCCACCAGAGCTAACAACTTCTTTACGACTTGAACCATCGCTTATATTATATACTCAGGAGTTCTTTCTAACATATTCCTGCTGTATGTACATATAAATAGGACCTTCCCAGTTGCCAGACTAATGCATACTAGTCGCACATTTGAAAGGCAGCAGCGTTGTATACAAGCTATATTAACAGGAAAGTCAATGGGAAAGTCAATGGAAAGGCATTACCCGGCTCTTAACCTAATAAACCAGGGAACACCTGGTAGGGGTTCAGATGCGAACTTCAAATCTCTAACGTAAAAACTATCTCTCGGCTTCATTCTCTTTATCAACTCTTTACTCATACAATAGCATCTACACATAACATTTTCGTCTGTCGTCGATTCTACGAATATCTAGCAATAGGCTAGGGCGATTATTTTATTTAGTCATTCTTTTTCATCATGGCTTCCGAAACAGCGTTGACATTCGGCGTCGAGCTAGAGTTTATGGTTACCGTCAACCACAACTATTATAGAAATCAAGCAGCACTATGGGCAATGTCAGAACTGTTCTTGAGAAATCTGGAGAATCTAGCAGCCCCCTTGCCTTGTGCCTGTATCACGGCTAAACTGAACAAATCTACGGGCCAAGGTTATCGGAGTGACTATCCGGGTCCCCATAAAGTGCCTATACAAAAGAAGGAGTGGAAGAATCACTATTGCTTCTCCGAGGACGTAACCGTTTATCCGAACTTCAAAGAAGAAATGAAATTAGAAGCAGAAAATAAACGCGCGGTTGGCTTGGAGGTTTCTACACGCGCTCTTGACTTTGATAAGCAAGGATGTCCCGAATTGAAAACTGCTTTCGCGGCCGTTCGTAATGGCGGCGAACTCACGAACAAGGAAATTGCTGAAGAGTTCAAACCCTCAACTCACAGCACAGCTGGACTCCATGTCCATGTCGGCGTCAAAGATGGACTCAGCCTAGAGACGGCCAGACAGGTAGCTGTTCTTGGATGGCTTTTAGAGCCATGCCTCTTTTCTCTCTGCAGCACTGATCGGGGAATGAATTGGCATCATGCACCAATCCGAAAACAATCCATGTTATCACGACGCCCATCCACATCTGGTCACGACGATATGGGGGTACCGGATTCCCTCTAGGACAGTCTTGCTTCAGCCTCCAGAAACGTCAATACAGAACTGGCACATACAACAACTATAACGGTATCCATCCCCCAAACGTTCTCGGATGACGACATAATGCGGATCAGGACAATCCTTACAGCAGGGGATATGAGCACGCTTTCAGCAATTCTGTCCGGTGCCCTGGTAGACCCGTCAGCCCAGCGGTTGGCCCTGGCTATTTACGAACGGGAAAATGATCATACTACTATCGAGTTTCGCCATTTTCAGAGTACGATGGACTACGAACTTGCTTGGAAGTGGATTCGTATCGTAACGAGCCTTGTTCAGGTAGCTTCGAAACCAGCATCTGAATTCGACCATAAGCTGCAGTTGATCGCAACCGAATACCAGAGAATGGATGGCAGATGGAGGCTGTACACATGGGATAAAACCTTTGGACAGGAGACAATAGACCCATGGTTAAACAGTTGGGAGTGGATGCTCCCAATTCTAGATCTCCAAGACGATGTCCCGTTCTGGCGCGATTATGTTGCCCGTCTTCCTGGGAGAAACGAACTTTCTTAGGGGGATGTGATTCCAGTAGTCGGCTAGATCAAGCAATGAGTGCGGAGCGTCATATTGTATACACAGCGTTATAGCGGTTACTTTTCGTATTGGTAATTCACTTGGACAGGTAGACTTAGTTACTCTGACTTCTTTCTCTTTGAACCTTAGTATCCCGCCGGCGCTGGGCTCTCTCGGGACAAAGGGAACAAGAAGATTAGCCAACAATAAGCCATAGAGGACATTGTTAGATTTAGCTTAGGAATTGTATCAAAACTCTACCTAGCTCATGCAGGCTACACAATGAAGTCTTATATTCTAAACGACTATGTAATCAACCAAGTCCTTGTTCTTCTCACACCAGTCTCATCTAACAATGCCGAGCTTCGAAGATAAAATCATGCCCATCGCCAGTTCCTAAGTTTGATGCAATTCCAACCCATAGTTAAGCCCTGATCACAGAAGACATAAAAGCCCAGGTGACTAAAACAAGCACAGAGAGTCTACAACTGACAGAGCTAGACCAATCAATCCATACACACCCAGCTAATAAAGACACATTACGGGCAAGCCGGCTTGCTAACCAAGATGTCGATCCTACTACCTTCAGCCTCATCCTTCTACCCAGCTAACGCTCCGAGGGCCAGTCTCTGGCCTGCCGGAAAGGGCGCCACAGAGAAACCGCAAGATACGGGCGTTAGCTGCCAATTTATAACCTTCTATCATACCTGCGGATGCAGGTCTAACAAAAACTCTGTTTACCTTTGCAGCACTGATACATGCCAGCACACGAAATCGGCTGTGGTGTTAGGGGAGCTGCCATTCGCATGTGGATCGTATCCGGGACGATCGACGGCGTGCAGTCTTGAAGACCCAGCCAGAAGGGAGTTCGTCAGAGAAGTAGACACGGCTGACAGACTCGATAAGCTGTTGGTTCTCCCAGATTGTACCAGGGCTGATATTGATATTCTGATACCGCCGTTTCAAAATCCAAATTGGCATGAACATATCTACAGGCACTACCAGCAAAGGCGAAATCAGAGCAGCATCATATCTCCTCCGCAGCTTCCTCCAAGCAATGAAAGGAATATCGAGAAAAGAGACGTCAACATTGAAGAGGTTGTGCAAAGACTCCTATATAAATACAAGGCACAAGAGGGGTCGTATAGAGAAAGCATGGTGGAAAAATTCGTAGAGGAGCAGCAGCAGCAACTCAGTTGCCAACAATTAGAAAATACGGCAATTGACCAAGAGGAAAATATGGAGTTAAATACTCCTCCTCCAGTAGGTGGTCACCGGGGTACCATCGAGTACGCTGAGAGCCTTGAGAACGACGATCTGGACGATGCGGTATACTATGATGAGACTGCCGCCAATACCGTCATGTTCAACTTCGAAGACGACACTGGGGGCTCTGTATACGGTCTCGAGATAAGCTATACCGACGCTTCAGCTACAGTAGAAAGCGCAGAGGACATGTATTACGAGGAACATCCCCAGGGGAATTATTACCAAGATATTACCCCTGACTTGGAGACCCCCAATCCCAATACACCTAGGTATTCCGACGACGGATTCAGCAGTGCGGATGATATTACGGATGATTTCATCGATTTCCTTGCCGAGAAAGAGAAAGAGAAAGAGAAAGAAAAGAAACCCCAGGGGGGAAGCCCGGTGATAAGAAAGATTTGGTCATACTTTAGAAGGTCTTCTTGACTTGATAGAGGTCTTGGCTTAAAGGGGCTGGCATTTGGAATTTATGAGTTATAGAGTTATCATAATTAGAAAAGAAAGAATAAATTTTTTTCGGTAAACGTATTCGCATTGTCATTGTCATTTGAATTGTCGCCTTCGTGAGTTTCGACTTTCCAAACAATGCTATAGTAATGCCTTAATCAGGGCTCAGTATCATGGACCTACTGTATCCTGAATTAACCCATATCATCTCATAAGACGTACGTGAAGCGACCAAAGCGGCTTATCCGAGTCGGATCGTTCCTCTGCAGCACCTACCCATTCCTCTACAATCTTATACGCGAACTCATTATCACAGTTCTGCACCGCGGCTTCGTAATCCCTCCGGTGTTTCTGATTGTAAAAGACATCAACCCATTCCTGGCATTTCTGCATCATCTCACCAATAAAAACTTGGCGAAGCAGGGTTAGATGGTGCTGTCTTAGTTTTATGCCGTAGCTCCGAACTTCCTCATTGATATTTAAGTGCGCTCGGGTGACACTATAAGGAGTCAACGGCTCAAGAGGCCTATCCCACGACTGATGCAGAAAGGCTGGGAATTGGCAGGCTTCATATATAGGGAGGCATGAAACACACGACCAGCCGATAATACCCATGAGTATACCGTTCTCATCGACAAGAATGTTGTCAAGAGAAATGTCATCATGCCAAAGCATCGTTGGCTCATATGGCTTGTTGCTCTTGTCGATGGTCTCTATGTCCTCCTCGTCAGTTGACTCATCCTCGTAGACTGGTTGCGCGCTATCATTGGAAGGTCTAGGAGCTGTGAAGAACTTGTCTTCTAGTTCTCGGAGACGGTCGACGAGATTTAGCATACTAGATATGGTCTTGCGATGGTCTTCGTCGGTTGCCTCGTCTAGTCTTAATCGAAGCTCGGCAGAAATAAGACGGAGGCGGTATTTCGTCCACTTGAACGCGGTACGGAAAGGCATAGTGTGATGACGTATACTGGCGCGCTCACCCTAGAAGAGCGCCATCGAGGCCATTTCGCCCACGCGAGGTTGTAGATCAGACTGATGCGATTCCGAAGGGTATATATTGCCAATCCCTTTGAATTGTCTCGTGAATGAAATAGCGGCATATTCGGCAATTTGCTTGACGATGCGTTCCTTGGCACCTTGGGTAATAGATTCCCAGCATTGGGAAAGGGGGCTCCCGTCTATACGATCCATCAAAACCCACTCGAAACCTATAGGGTTGTTCCGTGAGGAATCGTAGTGACGAACTTTAGGAACGGGTAGACGGGTGTTTTCGTCGATCCATCGCAACGTTGCAACTTCGCTTTCTGTCATAGATTTAGGACATACCGGTAGAGACACCTTCAAGATGAGGCGTATCCCGTCGTACGAGACGCGGTATATTTTACTATACAGTCCATTCCAGTAATGCTGAACTATGTACTCCTTATCTGGATCAACGAATTTCTGGAGGGTTAGGATAATAGAGTCAACTGTCGGTTCGACAGTCCATTCAGGTCTTACGGGAAAAGAACTATCGTCTCTGGTCCACTGGAGACCGTATGCTGGATCATCATGGTGGGGAGGGATATCGGCAGAGTCCAAGGGGCCAACTTTGTCGCCGTCGTCATTGATGGATTCGACAGGGTCCCCAAACAAGGAGTCTATATCTTGCGAGAGAGCGCGGTCTCGCTCCTCATGCTCCGAAACGCTACCCCATAGTAGGGGGTCCTCTGGTATCTCACCAATGTTAGGCTGCATCTTGGATCAACTTGAGTGAAGGTTCATAAGTATTGGAGTACGCGGTATATGGGGAATACAATGAGTTTATGCCCAGTAGGAAAGATTTAAGATTGAGACAGTCTGAGTTGAAACCAACGAATTCATAAGATATATGCCATCCTAGGCTTATTTCTCGCTTCAAGACTGTAGATGACTCTTTAATATATCACGAAGAACGAAGGAAAAGATGTCCCGCTGTCTGTACTTTGTTTGTACTTGGACAGTTGACGTTGTTGAAGAATTGCTAACTTAGTAGACTAAGTTAAGACTCTTTAGGCTTGAGGTGTTTATACCAATCACTAGCATCGAGTAAGAAGGATCATGTTCAACCCTCTGAGAAAAAAAATATTGTGTTGACTAATATTATTTTGAAACTTCTTGTTGTAATAATGAGTGTTTGTAGGGAGCGGATGGTGAAAATAGGCCGCGTTTGTTGGAGGTTAAACCGTGATCGGTACTTCAGGTAGGTACCTCTAATACACGAAGAGCAGGTACTTCGCGGCGTTCCTTACACTTTTCCTTGCGGTATACGAAGTACCTCAGATGGTAAAACACCGAGCTTTCGCCGGTCCAGTTAGGCCGTCTTCTTCGATATACTAAGATGCATCAAGGTTAGTAAGGTATCTGCATACAACATAGAAGGACGAAAGGTAGGAAGGTACGGATGTATGTACTACCCCGGTAATGCCCGGGCCGACAGTGGAAGCAGGTGTGTGTTTCCAAGGTTCCTTCCCCAGAATCTTACGGTCGATCGGCGAAAAAAGGATGTTCGCACGCATTTTCTTTCTTTAACTCCTACGCCTTTTTTTTTTCCTCTCTCAACTTATTCACCTCAACCTACTCTACCATACCTCTCTCCCTTCGACTTTGCGTGCTCTTGGTTTTATAACCACCTTCTCCTTCTCGTCTTTTCTCTATTACGTATCGTAACACGCATAGTTAATACATTTAAATCACATATAAGTTCAAAATGGTTCTCGCACGAGCTGTTTTCGGTGGTGTTCAACGCCGAGCTTTCTCGGTCTCGGCGCGAAACGTAAGTAAACTTTTCTAGACCTCAATTATAGACGAGAATGCTATCCAGAGAGTCAATGACTAATCTGCTTCTCTCTAGCTCTCCAAGGTCACCGTTCTTGGTGCTGCCGGTGGTATCGGCCAGCCGCTCTCTCTTCTATTGAAGCTTAACCCCAGAGTAACTGAGCTTGCTCTCTACGATATCCGCGGCGCTCCCGGTACGCTTTATTTTCCAATTGGTGGATATATGGTCATAGAACTTGATTCTAGCTTTCCCGCCATGTCCGGATGAAATTATACCCAACTAACATATAATTGACGCACAGGTGTTGCTGCTGATGTCTCCCACATCAACACGAAGAGCACCGTCAAGGGCTATGACCCCAGCCCCACCGGCCTTGCCAACGCCTTGAAGGGCAGTGACATCGTCCTCATCCCCGCCGGTGTCCCCCGAAAGCCCGGCATGACCCGTGACGATCTCTTCAACACCAACGCTTCCATTGTCCGCGATCTTGCCAAGGCCGCCGCCGAGTCTTGCCCGGAAGCCAACCTCCTCATCATCTCCAACCCCGTCAACTCCACCGTCCCCATCTGCGCCGAGGTTTTCAAGGCCCGTGGTGTCTACAACCCCAGGCGTCTCTTCGGTGTTACCACCCTCGATGTCGTTCGCGCCAGCCGATTCGTCAGCGAGCTTAAGAACACCGACCCCAAGGACGAGAATATCACCGTCGTTGGTGGTCACTCCGGTGTCACCATCGTCCCTCTCTTCAGCCAGAGCGGCCACCCCGATCTGACCTCCAACACCGAGCTCGTGAAGCGCGTCCAATTCGGTGGTGACGAGGTTGTCAAGGCCAAGGACGGTGCCGGTTCCGCTACTTTGTCCATGGCTATGGCTGGTGCTCGCATGGCCGAGTCCCTTCTCCGCGCCTCACAGGGCGAGAAAGGCGTTATCGAGCCCACCTTCGTCGACAGCCCCCTCTACAAGGACCAGGGCATTGATTTCTTCGCCTCAAGAGTCGAGCTCGGCCCCAACGGTGTTGAGAGGATCCTTCCCGTCGGCGAGATAGACGCCAACGAGGAGAAGCTCCTAGAGGCGTGCTTAGGCGACCTCAAGAAGAACATTGAGAAGGGTGTTGCCTTTGTCGCTTCCAACCCTCCCAAATAAATAACAGCAATCTAGATAGCTAGAACTCGGCGTTAGTTAACGTGCGTACAAATAATCACGAAGGAGAAGCAAAGTCGATGGGTATGCTTGAATGATGTAGACTATGTTTGGTCATATGCTCATATGCACCCACGGCTGGCTCGGCCTTCCGCTACTTGTCTCATGGGAAAACGCGATAGACTTAGTACCTAGAGATGTACAATAGTAAATGATAAAGATATGATATCATGATATCCCCCCTCGTATTACGGGCTCGAACAAGAAGACACTCGCTGTGATATATGATATACAATTCCGGTGCCATATGTACAGTAAAGCAAATACAACCGCGTTCACTGGCCATTGGTATTTCTACGACTCCTCGCCATCTCAGGTTTGCCTATCACGGCTTCAAGGGTTCTCGCCAAGCCTGCCTCGTCATACTTGAGCATACCGTCTACCCTCCTCCCGTAGACCCGGATACAGCCTATACCTAGGGCAGCTAGTTCTTCCTTGTTGACCTTGGGCACGCCCTCGCCCTCGAGGTAAACCAAGTGTGTGACATACCTACTCACCTCCCCCTTGCCCATACTTTTCTCATCACCAACAACGAAATCTCCCCGACTCTGCGCAGCCGCCCGCGCAATCGCCCTAACAAAACCAGTCGCCGTCAGCGGCTCCGTACTCGGCCCCGTCTCCCGGTCTACACTTGAATTCAGAATCAACACTTTATACCGGACTCCCGGATCCGCGAGCACGGCCCCCACCCCGCGCAGTACCAAGCTAGGCACAATAGACGTGTACAAACTGCCAATACTATAAATTACCGCGCCGGCGCGACGTACAGCATCCAAGACCTTGGGGTTCGCGAGCGGCCAGATCTCATGCCCATACGGGTTGATATACCAAATCCTCTCGATACGCGCGGGCAAGTCTTCCTCGTCGGCCTTGCTAAAGTTAATATACTGCTTGCGCAGGGTCGGCAGCGAGCCAGGCAACGTGGCGTCCTCGATGCGATCGTGCTCGTCCATTTCCCGGCGCAGGTGCTGCTGCTGCGGGAGCTGCTCGTCGTCGGGTAGGGAGGTGGGTGCTGAGGGGTGCGAGATAGAGTTCTGCCCCGTGATGTAGGTACCATCAGCTAGGCCTGCTGAGATGTGGTGCGTGAAGTTGCTGTTGATGGCTGGGAGGGCGGATACAGTGGGTGCGATGCTACAGATTGTGGAGAGGAGGTAGATGGCTGATTCGAGGGAGCCGGTGAAGACGCGGCCTCTGGATGAGGTGTTAGTGAGATAACACACACATGCATATATTATATTATATATTATAGGTACGATACGAATAAGAAAGCATATGCAAACGTACCCAGTCAAAAACAAATTCCCAATACTAGCCTTGGAGAAATTAAACACGGAACTGGGCCGCGCCCTCTTGACTATCTCCAAGTTGACGAGGTTGAACACAGACCGGATGAGCTCACGTTTCTCGCTCGAGATGTTAGTCCAGAGCTCGGCTCGGCCCTCGACTATATCTAGCCATTGCAGCCGCGCTTGCGTTGGATCAGACGAAAGCCTGTAATTGAACAGCTCCTTAAGCGATGCTCGCTCTGCGTCTGTTTCCGATCCGGGGATTAGACGCACAAGACGACCTGGAAGGGGTGCGCGATGGAGATGTCAGCCAAGAAAGTCCATGATTCCTAGTGCTGAATATATAAGTGAGGTGTATTACTCACTGCGGATATCACCAATACCTATTCATCATTATTAGCTTTGTAAATAAAGACGCGAGGACTAGAAGAAAGGGGGTCAGTTAGATGAGATGTCATGTAAGGAATATATACCAGGACCACCGAATACACGGATCAGCTCCGACGAACTTCCGCCATTATCGCTTATAGGTATGACGTAGCTAAGCCAGCAATTCCGGCTCTCTCTAATACTCTCAAATACATCGACAAGGCTATTAGTTGCAGTTCCGCCTCCGAAGACAACAATGCCTCTGGAGCGTGCGTCCATGATATACGCACGTTGAGTAAGTGAAAGGTGCGGATCTAAGTTGGATCCAAGGTAACAAAGACGCTTTGCTTATGTTTACAACAGAAATTACACGTAATGTCACGCTACCAGTTCGATGATGAGTGGACGAAAGGGGGGCATCTATAACATGATGGTCTCGTCTTGTAAGCGATCGGAATGTCCAAATTAAGTTAAAGCGATATCCATGCCGATTACTAAAAACTAAAAATTGTAGACACTTTGAGACTCGTATGCCGTATGCATGTAATTCCCCTTTGAAGACGAAAAGAGGAACCGGCAACAAAAAAAAAGGAGCGGAGGCAGTTATCGAATAGAATATACCTCGACTTTTTCCTCCCGAAGTTTGCCCGGTCCCATACTATACGGTATCATGGTATTACGGTATTATGGTATCATCACTTAAACAACACGCCTTTGACTACGATACCGCTGAACAAGAATATAGGCGGGTTGATCTATGGAACCAACGTCTTTTCTATATGTCTACAATGTCATATCTATGCATCAAACATCCCACCTGTCCCTTATATAGAAACAAAATGCTTTCTAAAGGAACATAGAGCATTACCTCGCAGCGCGGACAGCTTGTGTCGCCTCTCGGAGCTTCTGCTTTCGTTCCTCCAACTTCCTCTCAAAAGCTGCTACCTTCTCTGCTTGCCTCTTCTCCTCCTCGGCGTCCTTCAGCGCCTTCTCTGCCTCCTTTCTTACCCTCTCACGCTCGTTCTGCTCTGGCCGGCGTATCGCGATGTCACGAGGACGGAAGTCGCTAAAAAGCCGCTTGAGGATCACCTCGATGATATAACAAGCAGCATAGTCGATAACCATAACTCCAGTCATCGTGGTCTTAAATTCCTCCGTAAATTTCACAAGCTTCATCTGCTCGTTGAGTCCCGGGAAGAATTCCGTCGAGCAGGCGAACGCAATACCAGTAACCGAGATGATACCCCAATACATACCTCGGTTCTCAGACAGGGACTCTCTAAATGGCCGGCCCTGATAATTGACTGCAAACGTAGAGATCTGCTGGATCAGTTGCAGAAGGTATACGGCGCTGTTTAGTAATGACGGCTTGAACTCGGCCTCGAGATCAACCATCTCAGATCGTCTATAGCACTATTAGCAGAAATTCCAAGAGTAATAATTTACAACAACTTACGGCTCTAGCTTGTCGCAGAATCGGGCGATGTAGATAAGTGTAGCAATATGAACAGCAAATTGGCCTAGGATCGAACCAATGATATAAAAGTTGAATATATTGGGCTGTGGTCTCTCTTTGGACAGCCCTTCGACAGATTTCGCGCGGGAAATCGAAAGGAAACAGACGCTCATGAGCATTCCACTGATAGTAATCTGCCCGTCGCCAAACTTGATACCCTCGAGATAAAGAACACTGAGACTGTAGGCACTAATGAGACAGTTGAGAGCCAAGATCTTGTACATCTGAATCGTGGCGACCAGTGTGCAACGGCCTTGTCGAATGATGTTAGGGACAGCAATGACATTTCGTAACTTGCTAGTAAAAGGCGCAGCGACTGATGCATCACCTAGCTTGAGAGTAGGCGGCTCATCATCACCCAATTCCTGCTCCATCATCGCGGTCGTCATCTTGTCAGCGAAGCCGGCGGCCTTGTTAGCCGCCTCTAGTTGCCTAGATGCTCTCGGGTCTTGGTTCAGTAGCTGCCGAGCTCCTGGGCTAGTTACGGTCTCGATGTTTGTACCATTTAGCTTCGCAAGTTCTTCGACAGTAACACCTCGCTTCTGCGCCTCTCGCTCCATCGCCTTTTCGTAGTGAGGGTTAGAGGGGCCGGGAGGATAAAGATGAGCAATAATGGGCGGAACAGGAGGCGCGGGCTGGTTGAATCGTTTCATAAGGTCGATCTGCTTCTGGTAGAGCTCCTTCATCTTAGTGTTGCGGGAATGCTCTGCGATCCTTGTCAAGTCTTCTTGTGTGCCATTGAGAAGAGCGATACCAATGTGAGCCTGTTTTAAAGCGCCAACATCGTTGGTTCCATCGCCAGCCATCAGTGTAAAATAACCCATATCCTTTAATCCCAAGAGAATTTCTTCCTTTTGCTTTGGAGACACGCGAGCATAGACCCAAGTATGACGGAGGAGCGATCGCCAGGCAGCTTTATTATCCTTAAACTTAGCCAGCGCATATCCAGTAACACAGATGTCCTTCGACTTGATGATTTCGGGGTCGATCGGTTTCGACGCATCTACCTCGATATTGGTCTTATCATCAACGCTACGCCAGACTAACTTCTCCCCTCCGTGATTTTGTTCTGGGGCGTCTAGAATGAGAACATCACGGTCAACAATCTCGACTTCTCTAGCGACATGCACAGCCGTAAGTGGATTGTCTCCCGTGATCATGACGACACGATGGCTGCTCTCATTCAACATTTGCACAGCTTGCTTCGCATCATCCTTCAGAGGACACTGGAGAACCAAGAAACCGGCAAAGGTAAGGTCAGCCTCGACTTGCTCACGCTTCAGATCGTTGATTTTGCCAGAGCCGAGCTCGCTATCGTATGTTAATTGTTTGTAAGCGAGAGCAAGCACTCGGGAACCCCGTCGAGTAAAGTACTTGAAAGTCTCTTCATAATCCTTGGGGATAGAAACAAGCATCCTCATTATGGTTTCTGGGGCGCCCTTCACACCCACGAAGGTACCGCGCACCTTATTGCCAGTCTTAGGGTCAGCAGCATTTACTGTAGCGACGGAGCTCTGGCGCTTCAGAGCAGACGAGAATTGAAAGCGGCGCTTGATTTGAACAGCGCCCGAGGTACCCCCTGCGGCCGTGACGGCAGGCTTCGCAGCGAGAGTATCGTTTTTGCCTAGACTCCAACCGAGAGCTGCGAGCGTGGCCTTTTCCATAGGATCACCCACAATTTCGCCGTCTTCAAGCTTAACGAGAGCGTGGGCGCTAGCTAGCACGAGGGTTGTTTCCATTCCAGCATCCTTGACAGAGGTTAGATGGCTATGAGCACCATCAGATTCGCGAGGGGTATCTGTGCCAGTGTGGCCAAGTCCAAGTCCCGCAATGCCTTCGACGACCAGGTCCTCGCCGGTTAGGGTACCAGTCTTGTCAAAGCATGCTATGTCAATACGGCCGGCAAAAGGAATACGGAAAGGTTCAGTACAGAAGATAGCAAACTTAGCCAGGGCTGCCAGACTAGTATTGACTGCCAAGCTGAGTTCCATGGGAAGCTCAGGAGGCACGACGCTAGTGACGATCAAAACACAGTCAAGGAGTAACTTCGATCTCTTGCGATCTTTCTTGACACCCTCGTCCCAGACATACCACGAAGCGGCCACCGCAAAGATGAGGAGAAAGAGAATGAAAAACAAAGCTTCGGCATTGTTCGCAGAAACACGCTCCGTCGAGTAAATCATAGTGCGAACCAGACTACCCTGCGACGTCTCGAAGCCGGTTTTCATCACGATGGCCATAGCACCATTGTCAGGAGGCGGTGGAACACCTGAGGCGAGCTTAGGCTTCTCCTCGTCGGGGTTACCATGCGTAATTTGCAGGACTTTGGTGCCACCCCAGAGGAAAGCATTTTTATCTAGTCCCTCGGTATCGATAGAAGCATCGGCGGGTCTAAGTTGAATCGAATCCTTCAATAACGGTGTGCTCTCCCCTGAAAGCATAGCTTCGTTAACGATAGCTGTGCCCTCGACCAGAAGCATATCACACGCAACACCGCTATCCTCTTTAGTTCGCCCAACGGAAACGAGGTCTCCCGGAAGCAGCTTGTCGCTCTCGAGCTCAGTCCACTTGCCCAATCGGTACACCCACATATCGTACGGCTTAATACTCATGCTTCGAAATTCGACCAGGGTACGCTGTCGTTGCCAGACTACCGTGCTCTCGAATGCGACAAGCATAAATAGGGTAAATAGAGAATAGTACCAGTACTCATCCAGCATCCAGAGACCAACGCAGAAGACCTGGAAGACGAAGAAGGGAGCAACGGCATGCTCTCGGAAGAGCTCGGTGAAGGTAGGTACGGGAATATCAAAGGTATTAGAGCCATAGTATTGTTCAAGCTTAGTGAGTTCCGCTTGAGAAGAGATGCCGGTCGATTTCTGAAACTTCCCGATCTTAGGCTTAGGCTCAGCGTCGATCTCGTAGGTCAAGGTACTGAAGGATTTCTTCGCAGGGTCATAGAGAAAACGGCGCTTCTGAAATAGAAAAGACAGATTTGTCTCGTCGCCGACCTAGAACGAGCAAGGCGGTTAGCAAGATCAAAGGGACTAGTATGAAGGGAGAAAGCGTATACCTTATCGCGAATAAGTTTGCAGATGTCGGCTGAGCCGGCATTGGCGATGGGGATGACCTTGATCAGTTGCGCATCTTCGATCCTGCTTGCTTTCCTCGCAGTAAAGAGAGCCTTAAGATTGACGCTCCAGTTTGTGCTAAGCCAGACCAAACTCTGCAGAGTAATGATGGCGCCGCACCAGACGAAAGTCCACTCAGATGAACCAATATGCTTGGCGTATAGCTCGGGGGTGTAGAAATAACGGGCGAATATAGGCCATATTATGGCAAAAGGCGCGACATATGTGTGAAGATAGAGGGGGAGCGGCTTGAGCAACTCGGCGCCCTGAATCTGGGAATTGTCGACGAGAGCCATTATAACACCGGGCCTCTCGGTGATCCCATAAGCCTCTTGACTAGACTTAAGAGACCCAAGAAGTATATAAACCGTAGTCACTCTTCTCCCTTGTAATCAATCGTACGTGGGCGGTCAGGGCGGATAGAACAGCGCTAACACGTCTAACGTTGAGTGGACAAAAAAAAAGTGCGAAAGTAGAGGGAGACTATTTTGAATAGAAATTGTTGAACTCGGAAAATCGAGATGACGTGTGGCAACTGTCGCTTATGACAAGTGTTGGCAACTGATTGAGTAACTACTTGACACTAAACTTAACACGGACTATGTACCTCTCTCGTCGTTGCACAAACCACATATGCATGTTTGAGTTACCCGCTACTTGCCACATGCACTGTGTATACAAGGTTTCTGCAGGGTTGTGGCTCCTTCGCTCTTGCGCACAGACATGCAAATGTAGGTACCTAGCTGAAAGTGAAGTACCCAGGACCATGTACCTTACCTCATGTACCTATGTAAGTATACTCAAACAATCATCTCTCGACTTTTTTTCGTCGAAGCTAGGCGCACGAAACTCGTGGCCCGGTCGTCTTCATCTGATCCTCAGAGAGCTAAGACTTCGGCTTCATGAAGCCTTTGATAGATCTCACTTAACACTTCACGTGTTAGACCGACACGTCTCAAAAGGGGCGTAGCTTATCAACAATCCCGTTGCGCGTCAGAATTGACAATTCGCATCAAAGAGAGGGAATGATGGGACTTTACATAGGTGGCTACGACTACTATAAACACTCGAAGATACCGAGGACTACTCTATTAACATTAGGCCGGTTTCATTCGGTTCTTTCGATTCTTTTTAAAACTCAACTAGATATAAGGTATATGTACAGCCTTCATTCGTGGGAGGTAGCCCAACATAAAACAAATGTGCAAGAGTTCCAATCGCCAGCTCCCTGTTGAATAGGCTATCTAGTTAGTCCAGTAGTTGATTATGAGTTAGCGGTCGCGTAAGTATCGGCGTTATAACCAGACAAATACAATTCAGGGCGCGTTATACAACAATAAATAAATAATAAATTGAACTTCTATCAGCAATATTAGAACAAGCTTAAAGTCTCCAGCCTTACGCCTTCGTCCTCTGAGCCTCCCCTCAAGCTAACATAGTTCTTTCCAGAAGCCAATACGACCGTTGCTGTAGTATTGACGTATTTTCCTTTGCTAGGGAGAAGATACAAGCTCGTCTGTGGCACCTGATTAACTTCGACACTTAGCCCTACCGTCGTATTACCAGAATTAGAGTATGTGAGTATCAGAGAGGTCTGACCACCATTGGACACGATTCCGGAAAAGGCTACATTGCTGTCCGTACCCAGCCCTCCAACAACAGCCCCATTTGCTGTAGCAGTTGAGCTGTTATCAAAGAGGACACGCGTGTCTTTCCCAGTAAGGTAAGCATCAACTGCGTGGTAGGTTGGACCAGGGACGGGCGGCGTCCAAACCTCCAGTTCGCAGATACCGACCCAGAGGTAGGATGCCTTCCGATACATGTTAACGGCTAAGAACTGTGTCTCGGTTTGATCAAAGGTTATTTCATTACGGTCGTTAGGCAATAAGCTGGAGGAATCATTGACCGCAGCTAACAAACCGGCGGATCCGTATACCTCTATACGAGCGGGCACATCTACGCCTCCTCCTCTTACAACGTCTGAGAACAACGCGAGTGTGACAGAAGATATGTTTCTAGGTCGAGCAAATGTAACTGTAAGTGTATCATTTCGGTTTGGTGATCCGTAGTTTGTCCATCGATTGTCGGGGATCGAGTCGTAAAACAGAACACCGTCAATAGCCTTGAATTGGAAGTCGCCGGAATTGGTGTACGTCGCATTAGCCATCGGGTACTGACCAGGCCCAGTAGGATTCGCTGTATCTATTAGCCATGATTTTGGCTTGGATTATGTAGAAAAGCCCAGGTTGAGTTTAAAATATAAGAAAACAACTCAGTGGGGGAGGTAGAGGCATAGTAGAATTACCAATACGAACCTGCAATGTTAATCAAGGCATCGGCTGGTAATATTGGTGGGGGGATGCGTATCGTGGCATGCTTCCCAGCGCCGTTATATACCTCCTTACCGTCAACAAAAACAGTCAAACCATGTCCAACTTTGTATCTTGATCCGTATTTATCATATAGTATGGTTACGAGGTGTCCATGATATGACAGATTTTCGAGGGCAAAGTAAGTCCAATTCTTTGGAGTAATAGGTGAGATTTCAAGTGTGTTATCTTGCTGCGGTATGATCCCGAGCAGGCCAGTTATCACATCGTCGTTATTAGTTGAGTGATCGTAATGCTCTGAGTGGTTCCAACTGTCGGCGCTCCAAGTATCCAGAAAGGGGTAGTGAGATTCTGCAACATAAGGATGATCGTCTTTCTGTTGGGTTCTCGCATACGTCTGAAGATACTGTAGGTACTGCTCTGAGGTAACATTTGTAGTTCCAGAGCGATATATTGCTGCGAGTGACTTCAAGGTATGACCTGTTGAATACGGCCACGACATACCATTCCAGTAACAACCTATGAGACAGTCAGTAAGTTGCAAGATACTTATCGGGAGCTATAATTTCGAGTCGAGCTTCAGCGTACAGTAATCATCTGGTCTAGTAGCCATGAACCATGGGTCTCGTATCTCCAGCGTCGTTGGGCCGTAAGGAGCTAAGAACCCTTCCGGATCAAACATAGCATCGATAGCCGGCTGTGCATACGACTTATTCAGGCCAATGCCGAATCGATATGGGAATAGGCCGACTTGCTCCCTTCCGGTAAGCTGTGTCAAATTAGGATTATTGGGCCGAATAATGTCCATGAAGAACTGCTGCTCGGGGGCCCACATCCTCTTATACATAGCCTCCTCGAGGCTGTCGGCCATAATGGAAAACTGAACCTCCCTAAACCCATCGCGGGCAAGGTGGGCAGCCCGAGCTATTGCCCTAGCGTTTGCCACCATGTAGGCGTTATGGCTAGGCCTGAAGGTATCAGGGCCGTCCTTCCTTAGAGTCCAATCAGTCCCATTAGGGTCAGCTATGAAACCCGGCAGGGATAATTCTTGCGCATCCCAAACTGGCTGGTAGTAGTATAAGCCGGCTGCCCCGTCGTAGACTTGATCCCATTCATGCCATATGCGAACCAAGTCATCGAGCTGGGCAGCGAGAAAATGGGTGTCTCCGGTCACCATAGCACGGCGACTCGCGGCGTCGAGGATCCATTGGGTGTACTGCAGCGCGTCAGCTGGCCCACGGGTATAGAGATGGATATAATCATCACCATAGAAGGTATCTCTCAACCATCTTGACTCGTCAATCTGATGTCCAGCCGCGGCATCGATAGAACCGAAAGCCTTGGCGTAGCCAACTGGTTGAACGAACTCGGTACACATATAACCCGTTCCAGCCCTGATGTAGCGAAGATTACGCTGGATAGATGTCCACCTGTAATAGTAAACATCCTGTATAAGCGAATCGGGGATATCGATGAAAGGGATGTTATGTCTCAGGAATGATTTGCCCGCGAATGCGCTGATAGGCGTCTCATGATCCAAGAACGAAGTACCCTTGACATATTCAAGCTCAGGCCGAGGAGGTACTCGCTGTACGAGGAGAGTATAGGCGAGCAGACAAAAAACTCCAACCGCCGAGATGAGAGCGGACACTTTGAGAAGGAGGTAATCAGCATCGGACGGCCCGCCATCCTGCTTTCTCCTCAGTGAATTCCCCTTGCCGTAATGTAGAGGCAACAAATCAACTTGTTCCTCAAGTTTGGCGCTCTTAGAATCAGCCGATTCAAAGGTGTTATAAGACTGCCGCGCCATTTTCTCGAACAATAGATCTTATTAGGTGAACTCTGGTTTGGGTAACGCAGGTACCAAGGTAAGGTTACCTTGCGATGTGACCTATCGAAACTGCATGGATTAGAGTAATACCAATTTGATACCAACAACAGCAGCAATATCCGACCGATTGGACACGATGTATATCGCGTGAGTATTAGCGTACCATTAATATATATGGATACCCACGAAGATAGGGCTGCAGCCGGTATAAATAGTATAGGTAGGTAATGCTAGCGGAGGCTTCGGTAAAGATAACGGTGAGAAACGGCAGACACCGGCAAGCGACGGACCTGCGACGTCGCTAAATCCAGGGGGATTTCTCCACAATCAGATCCCCGCAATGACTAAAATGCCGGGAACAACCTTATATACCGAGTTCAAATGTTATGTCGTACCGGATTGGTGAGGCAAGTACTCGAGTTGTAAGTATTAAACGTAAACAGTATCTAATTCACAGTTATTAGTACTTTGCTTCCATTATGTATGAAATAGATGTAAGTCAAACAGATACCAACCTCCCCAAGATTGATAGAGAAAGATCTGCGTAGGCTGAACCAATTTTGTGTTAATTCCCTGACGATCATCCTTGAATTCTTTAATAGGGATATTAAGGCCATCTTTATGTAGATTTCCCCGCCTAAGATCCCCTTCATACTAACTACCTAAGTAGGTAGGTCGTTGAGGAGAGTCTCATGTGGCCGGGGGATGAAATAGTCATGCGCATAACGTCATAGGCATGACCCCCTCCGCATGTCTAGGAAATATGGTCAACGCCAACCCCGGATAGCTTGTGATAGGTCAATAACTAGGTCTCTCACCTTGAAATTCGACGACAGCCATCATGACCTAGGTCAGGTAGATCTTTAGGGTCTCTAATACTGCTTAATGTTCCCTCGGAATCCGAATTCGCCGGGCTTTTGGAGAATTGGTCGGTGACATTATTGGCAGTATAGACAAATCTAGAGCGCTCCTCGGTTGGGACGTGACCAAGAAGAGGTTACATTGCTCTAGATAACTAGATACGCTCCTCGTCTGACTACTTTCCTTTTCTGTAGGTGAACATTCTTATTGTTAGTTTATTTAGATATAATGATTTGGTACTAATGGGTTGTCAAAGACGCTTGCACATATATGTCTATAGATACATATAATGTAAGCCGACAAGTAAAGAACCTTAGTAAAGGTACCTAGGACAACTTTTTGTTGGGGTTGTAAAAGTTGACAGCTGGGTCCAGTTGCCAACCCTTATTAGCAGTCGTTACCTGTCATCACTGCACGAATATAGGTAGGTACATTAATACATCAGTACAATGTACGTCGGCGTCGGCGTGTGTCATCTGTAATTCCAAATAACTAGTTGAACCTTTTTCGACTTCGGAATATCACATTATATCTAAACCAGCAAACGGTCTCATTCCAACCGGATTTCATATTTCATATTTCATATTTCTAGTTTATTTTCAGTTCATTTCAAGCTGCTATGTCAGTATTTCAACTATCAAAGCTATTACCTCTACCCGAGGGTGAACTGAAGCAAGTCATAGACTATGCGGCTACGCTCTCTAAGCCAGACGCCGCCGAGCATTTTCGGAATCTACTCGGCGAATCGCCTGAATCTATTGATTTTATAGCTTCTTTTAATTCCAAGAGACAAGACCCCACAGCTTCCGCTGCATCGTCAAACCGGTCTTCCTCACATATCGAACCTGTGCCGAAGCCGACGAGAGCATCTAAAAAGCCAAAGGCTCAGTTGCATACTCCTGCTCCACGTCCAGTCACCAATCTCGGCCCTGCACCAGGAACCGCATATAGCAAGAATGTTGAGAGCGACTACATCACTCGGCGTCCCAGCCCGGCCGCAACTTCAGCTGGATCTGGGTCCGGGTCCGGAAAGAAGCCTCCGCCTCAGAAATCCGCAACTCCTCCTCTGCCAAAGCTACCTCCCTCTGCTGCGGGTCAGCTGATATCAGATGTCCGGAAGCCCAAGCCAAAGTCAATGCCTGATTCACGGTCTTCAACGCCGGCTCCGAAAACCAAAGTCCACATCTCTGGTGGTACTGCTATGCATGGCGCATCTACAGCTTTATCGGACTTAGACAACGCCATTCGCCTTCTTGAAACGGCCACAAATCCTACTCTGGGAACGGACGACTCCGCTCGGCAATGCAACTGCGTCGCTGCTAGGCATCCCTTGCTGGCTGCCGCACCGAACTGCATGAATTGCGGGAAAGTCGTATGTGTAAAAGAGGGCCTCGGGCCTTGCACATTCTGCGGCACGCCTCTTCTGAGCCCAGCCGAGATACAATTAATGATACGGGAACTGCGCGACGAGCGGGGCCGAGAGAAAATGGCCGCCAACCGCGAAGCTAACAAGAAGGCCGACGTGTCGAGGACCCCTACTTCTTTCTCAAAACCCAAGGAAACCACCAGCGAGACCAGTGAAGCACAATCGAAGGCTCTGGAGCATCGAGATCGTTTGCTAGAGTTTCAGGCTCAGAATGCACGTCGAACGACTGTCCGGGACGAGGCCGCTGATTTCGATGTCAGTGGGGCTATGACAGGATTCGGCGGTAATATCTGGGCCACGCCCGAAGAGAGAGCTCGGGAGTTAAAACGCCAGCAGAAAGTTTTAAGAGAGATAGAATGGAATGCTCGACCAGACTACGAAAAACGACGGCAAGTTATCAGCATCGACGTAGTAGGTGGCAAGGTAGTCAGGAAGATGGCAGCCGTTGAGCGACCAGGGAACCCCGAAGACGACATACAGACCGATACGACCCTACAGGAGGTCAATAATACTAACCGCGACAATGCGAGCAGAGGAGGCGGGACTGGAGGAGCTTTCAGCAAGAATCCACTATTAGGCTCGCTAATCAAGCCAGTTTTCGACGCCAAGGGCAAGGGAGCTAAGCTAGAAGGCCGTGATCCCAAGGCCACTCGGTGGAGGAGAGTACAAGACGATCTAGATGATAACGAGGCCGTCATTCTTGATGGTGGAGCGTATGGAGGGAAATCCGGCCAAGAAACAGCTCGTGCCGCTGTAGATGAACCTGCTTGCGGTTGATGTAGGCCCTAGTTAGAAAACTTAATTAATGAAGTTAGTATCCAAATGATCACACCACTGTCAAGTTCGGCTAGGGTATTATAGTATCGTGTAAAGGAATGTCAAATATCTTCATTGGTATAGTATCACCTCGAACGACCATTGCTACGCCTAACTTGCGAAACGAAGACTAGTCCATATACGGATCTGTGACCATATTTCCATTGGTATCTCCCTAGCCTCATCAATCCGTTTCCGTCAACCCAAACATTTTACCTCCTTAGAGGCTTACCAGGCAACGTCCAAGGCATATTTCCTTCTACTACTCACAGCTGAAGCTGGTGTGTGCTTGAGCTTGGCCTTAAGAAACCAGCAGTCGCCATGCATCTATAGAACGATCGGCGTAACGCTACAAAATGTACTGAGTGGTATTAGAATTATAGTTCCTTCGTCATAACGGGCGTTATCGACAATGCCGTCTGCGTCCAAGTCGTCATGATTACGCTGCAACCGCGTCCCGGGGCAATTATAGAAACTTAAGCTGCAACTTTCTCCGGCTCTTTGCTCTCGGCGATACCGTTCTCGGCGATACCGTTCTCGGCAGTGCCATTCTCAGTAGCGGTGCCGTTCACCTTAGGTGCCGCGGCCGCCTTCAACTGCTTAACTTGCTCCTCAAGACTCCCAACCTTTTCTGCGGCTTCCTTCTTCTCGGACTCCAAGCGAGCGACATCAGCTTGAGCGTCTTCCAGCTTGGTGTTCAGATCGGACTGAGTCTTCTCATCTTCCTGCTTTTCGGACTGGAGCTCGCTGATCTTGGTCTCGAGGGCAGTCTTCTCCTAATATTAGTGTTAAAGTTAGCTTAAATTACGTCTAAAAAATGACTCGGGAACGTGAGAGTTGGCCTACAGATTGAGCTTTCTTAAGGTCTTCTTCAGCCTTAGCAGCCTTGGCATTAGCCTCCTCGGCATTAGCATTGATCTCCTCGGCCTTAGCTTTCAGGCTAGTGATTTCTTCCGATTGTTCATCAAGCTGCTTCTGCAAATGCTCCCGTTCGTTCTGGACGGATTCCAACTTTTCCTGCAACTCGGCTGCTTCTTGCTTTTGCTTTTCGAGTGTGGCAGCTTGTTCGTCGTGTTGCGCTTGCAACTTCTCACGTTCATCCTCCGTAGCTTTAATCTTGTCTTGTAACTCAGATGCTTCTTGAATTTGCTTTTCAAGTGTAGCAGATTGCTCGTCATGTTGTGCTTGCAACTTCTCACGTTCATCCTCGGTGGCTGTGATCTTGTCTTGTAACTCAGCAGCTTCTTGCTTCGCCTTCTCAAGCTCAGCGCCTTGGGCCTCAAGCTGCTTTTGTAGCGTCTCGGCTTCCTCCTGAGTCGATTTTAATTTGCTCTCTAATTCGCTTGCCTCTTTCTGGGCACTCTCGAGCTCGGCCGCATGCTCCGCCTTCAGCTTGTTCTGGCTTTCTTCTAGGGCAACATTGCTTTGCTGCAGCTTTTCTGCATCGGTACGCAGTCGCTCCAATTCGGCTTCGTGGGCTTGCTCAAGCGACTGTCTCTTTTCTTCAGCATCGGCTAAGCTCTTCTTAGCGTCTTCTACTTCCTTGGTAAGATTATCGTATTCCTCCTGCAAGGATTCGTGCTTTTGCTTCCATTCGGCCACATTCCTCTCCGCCTCAGCAGCCTTCTCACCGGATTCTGTCTGCAACTGGCCATAGGCTTGTTGCAAGTTATCATGTTTCTGCTGCGTTTCAGCCAGAGTCTTCTTTGCTAAGGCAATCTCCTCGTCGGATTCCTTCTTGAGCTGATCGTGAGTTTGCTCGAGGGCCTTGAGCTCGTTTAGCGATTTTGTAAGACTCTCCTCCAGTTCATCCCGGCGAGTCTTTACAGATGCGAGTTCTTCAGTGAGCTTGCTGTGATCGCTCTGCAAGGCCTCGTGGTTCTTGCTTGAGGCAATCAATTCCTCTTTTACACTAGCCAATTCTTCCTTCAGGGAGGCTTCGAGGGAATTGCGCTGCTCGATAGCATCGGCTAGTTCCCGCTTAACATCTGATAGCTCCTCGCTTAGTGAGTTCTTCTCCTGCTGTAAGGCGTTCACCTCGTCCTGTTTCTGGGCTAGTTCGGCGCGTTTCTCTTCGAGCTCCTGGGCTTTGGCAGAGGCAGACTCTTCGAGAGTGCGACGCACCGAGGCGGAGTCGTCGGAAGTCTGCTTTAGCTCATTTTGGAGCTTATCAGCCTGTTCCTGGTTTTCCTGCTTCAGTGATGTGGACTGCGCTTCCAATTCTTCGATCTTTTTTCGCAGGGCCTCTGTCTCCTCGGTGGCCTTGTTGAGTTCTTCCTTGGCCTCCGAGAGTTCGCTTTCCTTCGTGGCCAAGTCCTTCTCGAGGGTGGTAATGTTCTCGTCTCTCTCTGAAATCTTCTTCTCTATAGCTTCTCTTTCTTCCTTGGCAAGAGCAGCGGCACTAGAGAACGTGGAGAGTATGTTACCCATCTCGTAAGGTGCTTCTTCGCGTCCTCTTTATATGTGAGGCGGAAAGAGAATTGAGGTTGCAAATTGCTATTTTCGTTGCAAAATGTGCCGCAAATGGGGAATGAAGGTTCACACGAAATGCAACGGCTTTCTACCAAATGATGTTTGCTTTGTTGGGGGTATCCGACAGCAATCAATCAAGTAACAGAATTGAGATGCTAGGTATCAATTAAACAATTTGTTCATTCATTCATTCCGTCGCATGCATAAAATGAGATGTTGAGAGGGGGAAGAAAAGATACGATAGGTTCCGATGGTTGTAACAGGGAAGTGACTGGGTAGAGAAAAGTTCCTTCCCTTTGCTGTTACTGCCAATTAAAAAAATATTTTCAAGCCAAACAGGGATCCGATGTCCCGCGGTCCCGCACCAAACGCTACTTAAGCTACCTATCTAGCGGTCAAGAGTTAGATGTGGTTGGTTGCCGTGCTAATTCAAATGTTGGGTGCTTTGCAGGTGACAACTCATGTACAGCACAACCTCCAATCACCCCGCCTTATCTTACTTAAGCGCCCGATCACTACTTGCAAACTGTTAGATAAATTGATCTATTGAACTAACTAATAAAAATGAAACATTATTATTTTTTTTTTTACAAACACTCAAGATGAATCTGAATGTCTGAATGACACGTGACGAGCAGTCACGTGTTGAGATGTACTAAGGTACATCTCACACAAACCTGCGAACATGTGTGTGATACAGTGGGTTAGAATCATGTGAAATTACGTAATAGCATTATATTACTTAATAAAAATATATTAACGTAAATAATAAGTTAATAAATTACACGGGTTAAAAGTTTAACGTTAAAAAATATTTTATTTTTAAAAAATTAAAAAATTTATATTTATATAAAAATAACATTAAACAAATAATAAAAAACGTATTAAATAAATAATAAAAAACGGATTAAATAAATAATATATAAAACTTTTATATATTATTAAATATTTTTTTTATTATATAAATTTATTATAATATATATATATTTTTAAAATAATTTTAACTTTTTAAACTTTTTAAAATATACGTTTTATTATTAATTAAATTTTTTATTATTTATCCGGTAATGTAAATATAACAAAATATAAGTGGTGGTATATATTAAATAAAAAAATAAAATATAATATAAAATAAAATTATCGCGATAATTGTTTTTATATTAATTAATTAATGTTATAAAAATTATAAATTATATGTGTAAATGTTATTTTAAAAAAATTGCTTTTTATGTGGAAAATAGTCACGTGTTGCCACGTGACTATTTTTTACGTAATAACATGTTTATAAATAATATTTTTATTTTTATTTTTATTTTTATATTACATTTTTAATATAACTTTATATTATATTAATTAAATTTAATTAATTTATAAACGATGTAAAGTTTAAATATTATTATTTAATGTAAAATTTTATTGTTTTTATTTAATTACATATATTAGTTTAAAATTATACGGTTACATGTATCGGTTTTAAAATAAAAAAGTTAAAAATAAAGTTTTTTTAAATGATTTTTAATATATATATATAAAATTAATTAATTAATTGGTTAATTAATTAATTAAAAAATTATATTATATAAAATTATTTAATTAAATATAAAGTTAATTAATAAAAAAACGCGTATGTTAAAAATTAAATATTTTATTAAATTTAATAAAATTAATATAAAAAATACGGAAAAAAACAAATAAAATTATATAAAAATATATGTAATATTTATACAATATTTATTAACTTTATTATTTATGCAATTATAACGTATATATTATTTATTTAACTTATTTTTTATTATTTATTTAATTTTATTTATAATTATATTATATAATAAATTTTAACCATTTATATTATTTTAAAATATACGTTTTTTTATTAATTAAATTTTACACCGTTTATTTATTTTTATTTTTATTTTTATTTTTATTTTTATTTTTATTTTTTAACGTGTTTATTTTATATAACTTTTTATTTAATTTAATTTAATAATAATGTATAACTTTTATATTTTTAATTTTTTTCGGTTATATTTATTAATTAAATTTATACGGTTATATATATTTATTTTAAAATAAAAAAGTTAAAAATAAAGTTTTTTTAAATGATTTTTAATATATATGTATAATTATTTTAATAAATTTAAATTACATTTCGTAAACACGTAAATTACGTTTATATAACTTTTAACGTTATAAACGTTTTAAAAACGCATAATTTATATGTTTATATTTATAAATCACGAAAATATTATTTTATAAAACGTAATTTAAAATTAATTTAAACTTAAACATTTATTACGGTAAAAATTTTAATAATAAAATTTAAATATTATATTTACGATAATTTAATATAATATAATAATATATAAAATAACTTTAATTTAAATAATTTTAAATTAATAATATATTACATTTATTTATTTAAACTTTTTATATATTTATATAACATTACGTTATTATATTTTAATTTTAAACGTTAAAATTAATTTACGGTAATAATATTATTAATCATTATAATTAATAACATAATTAATAATATATATTAATATAAAATGTTTTTTAT